ACAGTACCGTAAATCACGGCACCTCACTAAAAATGGGCAAGAACAAAGACTTCTTGAAATACATATGCACCCTTTTGCTGACCTTGGCGGTAAAAGACTAGCTTTTGCCTCAAAAAAAAGGTACTTCATCATGAAATTTACATACAAGTGGTACAACATGGAAAGTATCATGCTAAGCGAAATGAGTCAGAAAGAGAGGGATAGACATAGAAAGATTGCATTCATCTGGGGGATATAAAGTAACAAAATAGGAGATTAATACCCAAGAATAGCTGAGATCAGCACCAGGAGGATTACTCCATAGCTTAGAGGCCAGCCGGGCATTCTAGGGGAGAGGGCAGCTCAGATAGAAAAGGGAGCACCAAATAAAGTGTGTTTGGAGGATCCTCCCAGGAGGGGAGATGCATGTTGAAAGTAGACTATGGACTGAACATGTTTGCCACTCAAAGCCTCTTTTGCAGACCACAACACCCAAAAGGAGAGAGAGAACAAAAGGGAATGCCCTGCCACAGAGGCAGGGTGGGATGGGGGGTGGGGGGGTAGGAGGGATATTATCCATGGTGGTGGAAAATGGGCACTGATGGAGGGATGGGCATTTGATCATTGTATAATCGAAACCTAAGCACAAAAAATTGTAAATCGACAACTGTACCTCATGGTGTTTCACTAATAAAAAGAAAAAAAAATGTAAAAAAAAACAAAAAAAAAAAACAAAGGTACTTCAGGGGCTGGAGCAATAGCACAGCGGGTAGGGTGTTTGCCTTGCATGCGGCCGACCTGCGTTTGATTCCCAGCATCCCATAACTATTTTAAGATTTTTTTTCTCCTCAAAGTAATAGCTAAATGAACTCAGTCTGCTAGCCTTACAGTCTACTGATATGGATACACAGAGGGATGTGCCCCCTACCTGGGCACTCTTTCCACAGGGGATATCTCACTTCAGAACAAAAATTAAAGAACAGTCAATATGTGACACAAAAAGCCTGTACATCATACCAAGAGAATGAATTTTATTCTACACATGAAGAAAGGACATCAAAGGACTAAACAGAAAAGCAGTTTAAGGAAACAGGAGGCAGTCCAGACTTCATTTAAAATATATCCATCTGCATGATAAATTTAAATTGGAGTTTCGATAAGAGTAAGGGTAAACAGGTTAGATACCACTGAAATATTAAATATGCTACTGGCCCCAAACCAGAGTAGAAACAGAAATTAAGAAAAGGATGAATTGTGCTCGCTTTGGCAGCACATATACTAAAATTGGAACAATACAGAGAAAATTAGCATGGCCCCTGCACAAGAATGACACGCAAATTCGTGAAGCGTTCCATATTTTTAATACCTCTATTGCAAACCACAACACCCTAAAGGAAAGAGAGCAAAAGGGAATGCCCTGCCATAGAGGTGGGGCAGGGTAGGGGGTTGGGGGTGGGTGGGCGGGCTACTAGGTTCATTGGTGGTGGAGAATGGACACTGGTAGAGGGATGGGTACTTGATCATTGTGTAACTGAAACCCAAACACAAAAATATGTAGGTCTACAACTGTACTTCATGGTGTTTCACTAATGGAAAAAAAAAAGAAAAAGGATGAATTTAGTAAATGTGTAACGGACCTGTCAGAATAGCTGATCTGGGTCTTTTTCAAGCCTAAGAATGAGAGTTCACTCCCGGTGTCTCCACTAGCATCAAGGGCAATCCTGGCAACTCTGCAGTTTGTGACTTGGAATTCTGGTATCTCTACTCCCTGGAGCCACAAACAAACTCCTGCCAGACCATAGCCAGGTGTGTGTGAGCAACTGAGCAGGTGCAACCTCAGAGAGCAACTCCAAGAAATGAGTGAGTACTATGGCAAAGAAATGTGTGTCCCAGGAAGCATGTGTGTGAGCACTGCAGAGAAACACCCAAAGAGCACAATTAAAAGTGAGATTCTCAGCATGCATGTGTATAAGCATCACAATTAAATGAGTACAGCCTTCGGGGAGCAACACAACCTGATGTGCGACCCCAAGAGAACATCACACCGTAGTAGTAAATGCATCTCTCCAAGCCCGCGAGGATTGGGACTTGGGGCCTCCTCCCCCCAGCTCCCCAGTTCTCCAGTAGCTTGGCAGTCACACCCACAAACTGCCCCTGCGCCATGTAATCTCATCAATGACCAAGATCTAGAAACTATAAACTAAAGCTCCAGGAAGAGAGCAATGCAGAATTTTCTGGAGCACGCGGCCCTGATACTCCTAGCCCATTTATGTACCAAAAGTGGCACACATTTGTTTGGTTTTAACATAATTGCTTGTATTCTCTTATATATGGGCTTAAAATGGCTCCAGAATGAAATACAACAAGCTTCACAAACTTCCCTCTTATTGTGTTAGGAAGGTGCTCGGTAGTGGGACTGATGTTTGAATATTATCTGCAATGAATTATTGTGAACTGCTTTTATGAAAATAAAATATGTAAAAATTTTTAAAAAAAGTAAATGCACCATGGCCCCACACTAATCACAGGCATCGCAACAACAAAGGAGAGGAGGTGAAATTTTGACTTGAAAAAAAAAAAAAAGGAAAGAAAAATATTTAGGAAAAAAATTAAAATTTGAGCCATACCCAGCGTCTTCCTGGCTCTAAAATCAGGGGTCACTGTTCGCAGGGCTGGAGAGGATGGGGACAGGAGCATATGCTATGCCAGGAAATGAACCCAGGTGAGCTGCGGACAAGGCAAGTGCCTTACCCAATGCACTATTTATCTCAAAGGCCCACGGACAATACAAATTCTTAGGATGACAGCACCGGGTGTGGTCACAGTGGCTGGAGAGGAAAAGAGAGGCAGTTGCCACAGTGGCAGATGAAGTGAGCTCTTCCCTGTCGGAGAGAGAAAACAAGGACACCTTTAAGCGGAAGCAATGTCTATGCTTACAGCATGTTAAGCTGAGATTTTAGAAGAGGATAAGCAGTAGTATTAAATACACTGTATGGTTTGCAGTAGAACATAAAAGTATTAGAACAGATGTGGACTTTGAAGCCAGAAGTGCCAGTTCGGCACTGGGGGAGGCCCAGGGATGGTATCCAGCACCACAAGAACCCTGAAGCAACACCGGGAGAAACCCCCAAGCACTGTTGGGTCTGGGCCTCCAAAAAAAAAAAAAAGTTGGATAAAAGAGACAGAACAAAAGGTAGAACTTGTCTCACATGCAGCCGACCGGATTTTGATCCTCAGCAGCACCACATAGGGTCCCCCGAGCCTACTAGGAGCGATCCCTGAGCACAGCAGGGAGCTCCTCTAACCCTGCAAAAAAAAAAAAAAAAGTACTAGGAAAAGGACATGATTCCTGGCAAAGACATAGAGGCAGAAGCCAGAAGATAATGAAAACACAAAGATACCCACAAAGAATAAAAACTGCTCTTTCGATGGATTAAGAAAAGAGAGTGTGAGGCAGAGGAGACGGCTGAGTGGGCTAAAAGCCTGGGTTTGCACACAGAAGGCTCGGGTCTGCTTCACAGCACCACATGGGCCCCCGTGGGCAGCCAGGAGAGACCTCTAAGCAGGCAGTCAGAGTAGCTCCCAAATAATTCCTGCTGTGCTCCTAAAAATAAACCAAGAAAAAAAAAAAGGAAAAGATAAAAAGATTTGGGCCAGAGCGCTAGTACAGTGGGTAGGCATTTGCCTTGCACGCGACCAACCTGGGTTCGGTTCGATCTCTTGCATCCCATATGGTCCCCCAAGTACTGCCAGGAGTAATTCCTGAGTGCAGAGCCAGGAGTAACCCCTGAGCATTTCTGGGTGTGACCCCAAAAAGCAAAATAATTAAAAAAGAAAAGATAATACAGACTTGGGGTTGGAGAGATAGTACTGCAGGTAGGGTGCTTGCCTTGTGTGCAGCCAACCTGGGTTCAATCCCTGGTACTCCGCATGGTTCCCTGAGTCCATGAGGACTGATCCCCAAGTGCAGAGCCAGAAGTAAGGCCTACGCACTGCCATGTGTGGCCCCAAAACAACAAACACAAAGATAATACAGATTTATGCATGTTATTCTATGGCAGGTCAGAAAAGGTAAGAAAATATAGGGATAAGCAAGTGACAGACTAAAACAGAGAGAATAAAGAGAGGAATGAACTCTGTGATCCAGGCTGGAGTTTGCCCTGAGAAGGAGAATTTTGTGCTCTGAGGCAGTAAGATGAGTCCTGGAGTACTGAGAACATGGGGGAGAGGTAGAGAGGGAGAGAGGGAGAGAAGGAAGAAAGGGGAAGAGGGAGGGGGAGAAGGCAGTTCAACTGACCCTGGGCCAGAGAACAGGGAATTGAACGTCTACTGGCCAGTGAAGGTCTGGAGTGATGGATCGTCGGGTTTGGCAGGAATGAAGTAAAGAGAGGGCTGAGAAAATGGGAGAGAAAGGAAGCAGAAAGAAGCCGGAGGCCTCAGTCGGGCTGTGCAAAGGGCCAGTAAGAGCGCGACACTGAAGCAGCAGGAACATCAGGCAGCTGTGGCCAGTCTTACCAGGCAGAAGGAGACTCGGCTCAATGTGAACTTATCCACATCTTCCATGCCTCCTCCCACGCCACCACCCAAGACACTAGACACTGCATTATAACCACCACGTGGGTATCTGAAAGCCACCCCTGAATTCTGGAGACTTAAGAGTATGCACCAATAACGTGAGTACTTGTGGAGAAGCCAACGATGTGAGCTCCCGGCAGGCTGCCTGCCAGGGTCAGCAGACACACAGGTCGCTCCCTCCGGAGCAGAGACAGCAGTCAGGGCACATCCATTAACCTAAGACAGCTCCTTCTGAGAAAGATAAAAAATGGCAGCATGTTTGTGGACTATTTTAAATTAACTAACACTGTTTTTGTTCCACTCAAGCCACTAATTATTTGGGAGAAAGTACCAATATATTTGAAGACAGGTTGACCTCAAGAAAACATTAAAACTTCTAGTTTAAAAAAAAACAAACACAATTTTTTAGGTTTCATAATTTCTTTTCAAAGTAAATTTCTACTTACTGAGATCTGGCCATTAATAATCTTAGCCTCTGCTGCAGCACCAGGAGTCTATTCATACTTCAAAACACCATGCTTTCTTTGCTGGCAATCTGTAACAGAAAAAAGGTGAGAGTTTCTTATTTCTTTTCAAAGAGTAACTTTGAGACTACTGGTACCACTACTAGTCCAGTTCATCTATATATGAAGTCTTAAAAATAAATATAAATTACTTAATATAAAAATACTAATTTTAAAAACGAATATGGTGTGTACAAATTTATATGAAGAGTCTTTTCAATCATAAACCAAAATGCAATGAAGTTCTATGATGTTTAGATAGCTTGGTCTGTAAAAGCCACTGAGCCTGGCTTTTCCACTACAGGCAACGGAAGGAACTGGACAACTTCATACTCTACCCTCAGTCACAATCTGGGGTTTAGCCGAACACCTGCCAGCTGCCATTCCACATTCAAATGACCCCCAGTTTAGCCAGCAACATGCTAATTATCTACCTCACCACTTTTCTTAAATCTGCATCATTCCTCCCAAAACGCTGACACTTTTTTTGTGGAGGGAAAGTGGAACACCACCGGTGCTCAGGGGCTCATTCCCACTTTTGCCTGAACACAAGGCAAGAGCCTTGACTCCTATACTATCGCTCCAGCCCAGTGAGGTCATTCTTTGGGATCCACCCTTCAATTTTCACTTTTTTCCCTGTTTCTCAGACTCAATGAATTTCCACTTCAAGTTTAATGACTCTTTGCTCTGACTGCTCACATTTACCTTTGAATTCTTTTATTCCTTTATTTTGGTATTTGGTTTGGGGCACATGCCTGGCAGTGGTCAGGGCTTAGTTCTGGCAGGCCTTGGGACCATATGGAGTGGCAGGGATCAAACCTGGGTTGTCTGCATGCAAGGCAAGAACCTCTCACTGTACTATTGCTCCAGCCAGCCCCTCTCAGCTCAGTTACTATATTTTTGTTTCAGACTATGTTTTCTTTTCTTTGGCTTTGTTTTTGTTTCATGCCTGATGGTGCTTCAGGATTACTAAAGGGTCTGTACTCAGGGGTTTGTTCACAGAGAGCTGTGGAGCATGAGGTACCAGGCCTATCCCTTATAAACACGCACTCAGTTAACTGAACTATCTTTCTGGCACCTATTTGGTTCCTTTTTAGATTTTTTTGCTTTCTAAAATAAAAAAAAGAAAGCAAAAAAGGAGAAAGCAAGAGTTCATTTTCCCTATCTATTGTTTTTGGTTTGGTTATTTTGTTGTTTTAAAACTTTATCCATGTTTTCTTTTAACTCTTTGAGCACCTTTAAGGACTTTTTTCTTTTTATTTGGGTAAACTAAAAAGATATTTCCACCTCCATGTGCACAGCAACAATATTGACTAAAACTGACTCAGCCTACATGCCTAGAGGGCTGGATAAAAAGCTATGATATAGACCCAATGGAATACTACTCTTTAGTAGTATTATAGAAGTATAAAATGGGGCTGAGGATACTGCACGATAACAGAACACCTGCCATGTGTGTGTGAGGCCCCAGGCTCGAACACCAGTACCTTACCCCTCCCCCATAAAAAAAAAAAACAGTAACAAATGAAAGCATAAGGCAAATACTTCGGATAAAATGAATGAAATATTTGGTGATTGTGTTAAGTGAGAAGAAAGTAAAAGGAGGGGTGAAGAGATAGTACATCAGGTAGGGCACTGCCCGGCACCCTATATGTCCCCTGAGACCCACCAGGAGTGACACCCAAACATAGCCAGAAAGAAAGGGTGGGGGTGGGGGTGGGCAGAGCAACAGTAGAGCAGATAGGGTATTTGCTTTGCACACTGCCAACCTGGGTCTGATGCCCAGCATCTCAGATGGTCTCCTGAGGCTGCAGGAGATACCTGAGCTCAGAGCCAGGAGTAAGCCCAGAGCACTGCTAGGTATGGCCCCAAAACCAAAAGAGAAAGGCCTGGCTGAGGAAGACAGCTCCGGGGCCTGGCTGATGCCCAGCACTGCCTGGTCTCCCTGCCACAGCTCCATGCAGCCCTGGGAGCCTCTGGCACCTCTAGGGAGCCACCACCACCAAAAAAAGAAAAAAGAAAAAAAAAAAAGAAAGAAAGACAATTACTGAATGGTTTCTCTCTTAAGTGGAATATAAATCATAAAAGCAAATGAACTTCCAAAATAATACTGCTAAATCCTAAGCTCAATGAAACTTTGGGGATTACCAGAGGAAAAGGGTGGTAGGAATTGGCAGAGGGCCTTTTTGTTTGCATTTCGGCCACTCCCAGCGATGTTCAGAGGATACTGCTGGCTCCGCACGCAGGATCACTCCTGGCGGGCTCAGGGGACCATATCATATGGAATGCCAGGGATTGAACACGGGACAGCTGCATGCAAGGCATGCGCCTTCCCTGTTGTACTATTGCTCCGGCCCTAAAACTTGACTTTTCAATAAATTAGATTTAACTATCATCTATAAAATGATGACATAACTATCATTTATAGTCAAGAATAATAAAATGAAAATTATCAAGAAGCTGAAAATTAAGTACTGTCTACTAACAACTTATTGCTGTTTTCTATAGTAAACTAATTATAAAGCTCTTATTGTATGCCACACGCAGATGCATTTGAAAGATCTCTATCCGTAAATTATCCTAGGAGTTAGGTATAATAATTTCCAAATAATTGGTTTCCAAATGAGGAAATCAAGACTTAAGATAGTTTTCCCAAGATCAATAGATGATTATAGAAAGAGACAAAATTATATCTAGATCTGACTCCAAATGCCCTAGCACTGCACTGTAGCACTGTCTTCCCATTGTTCATCGATTTTCTCGAGCGGGCACCAGTAATGTCTCCATGTGAAACTTGTTGTTACTGTTTTTGGCATATTGAATATGTCACAGGTAGCTTGCCAGGCTTTGCCGTGCGGGCAGAATACTCTCAGTAGCTTACCGGGCTCTCCGAGAGGGGCCAAAAACCCTAATTCTTAGTAATTAATATAAGCAAAACTCTTAAAATAGTACCTACCATATGGCAAGCACTCAGCAAATGTTTATTATAAAGCATTACTATATGCCTTTGGTAGTTTAGTCAATCTTTCTCTGTCTGAATTTCCTCATTCAGAAGATTCAGGACACTTATTTCATAGCAATTGTGAAAACTAAATAAATTCCTGTCATAAAGACATTCAAAACACTATATAACATTTAAAAAGATTTTAAAAATTATTATATCTCTACTACAGGTGAAATTCTGTCTCTTATATTACAAAGAAGTCTTTGCACTGTAACTACAGAAGCCTAGAGTTTAAGCACCATCCTCATAACAAGAATCACATTAATAAATTTAGTAAAATTGTCCTAACTTATTCCAATATGATTCTTGCAGAATGACATGCAAAGAGAACACTGAACTCTATTCATGAGTGTGATTATAAATGTGGTGCTTAGTGTGGTATATTTGTTCTTTCAGCTCACTAGCATGAAGGTGAATTTGGCTTAAACTATAGCGGTTCTGTTCAAATGTAGCTAGGACAGAATATCTAGAGTTAGAAGCACAATTGTAAAACTAAATTTTGAGCACAGCTAAGAGCTGTATGTAACTATATAAAACAATCAAAATAATGCCATTTAAAAGTTTTGTTTTTGCTTCAGTGGTCTGACAGGTTGCTTTTAAATTATTGGGTAGGTCTTTTTTATTGATATGCCTTAATATTCTGTTCACTCCTACCACTGCTAAGAATGTTTATTATTTCTATTACACCGCCCCTCTCAGAGAGCCCGGCAAGCTACCAAGAGTATCTCGCCCCCACAGCAAAGACTGGCAAGCTACCTGTGACGTATTCAATATGCCAGACACAGTAACAAGTCTCACAATTGGAGACGTTACTGGGCCCGCTCGAGCGAACCAATGAACAATGGGAGGACCGTGATACTGTGCTACTCTAAGAAAGAGAACTGGGAGGGTAAGGTAAGGGGATAATAAAAAAAAGAAAATCTAAGGAAAGGGAACAGTTTCCTTGTCACCTAAACCAGATGTTTTCTGAGAAGGACACCTGCAAAACAGTTTCCTTGTTAGTTGAAAATTTCACACAAAATTTAAAATGTACCCAGGTATCTGTAAGCATTTACCTACAAGATTATATCTGCATATTCCTAAACATTTTTCTTCCTTAACATTTTTTATTCTACTAAGAGAAATGTTAGTGAATAACTTTACAAATCATTAACCCTCCATCCATCACAACCCTTTGCCCCTTTATGTTAACTTTCAAAAAAAAATTTAATTGTATTACTTACAAATCACTTTAATAGCTGGTACTTTACTTTCTGGAAACTCTTTATGTCTAATCTAGATTTCTTGTATTGCAATTTAAACCAGATTCCTCTCATTTCTGTTTTCTCTGTAAGAGACAAATAAAGCCAGGATGATCAAGCAAGATCAAGCACATGCTTATGTATATTTAAAATTTCCTAAATTCACTTTTCTATGGATAAATCTAAGGTATTATAAGGCATTTCTTTATTTTGGGCATATTGTTGAATTAAGCTAACAGATTGTTTAGTAGAAGTAATTCTTAAACAGCTATCATTATTAAGAAGAGAATAAAAATGAACTTATTCATTTCTCCATCAACACACTAAGGCATTCAGCAAGTATTTTCTAGGCACCAACTCTCTTTGAAAGCACTGGAAACTGATAATAAATGCATTTCAAAGAGCTCAACGCTTAGTGAAGGAGACAGTCAAGAAAATGATATAAAGAGAAGTGGAGACCCATGCACCCATGCAATGAAAACACTTAATTCAGAACAGAATAAAGAAGATGTAACACAAGAGACTTCTGGAAAGGTAGCCCTAAAATCAAGTATGGAGAGAGGTGGGATTTATCTAGGACAAAAGCAATCCAGACCAAGAAGAGTATATGCAAAAGCAAAGAAGCCTCCCAAAACATGGTCTACTCCAGAAGCAGCAACCAGTAACTTATAGCTAGATAGTACAGCATGTATGGGGGAAATTGGAAATTACAAGAAGAAAAGAGGGGAGGCAAGCCACTTTAGACTCCTCAGGGAAGCTTCTGCTTCCCCCTATAATTTTAAAGATGTAACTAGTGACCTACCAAAATACTTTCCCCTATAAAGGCAGAAAATCTACATACAAAGATGACCTCTAACTTGGGGAGATGGTGGGGGGGGGGAGGGAGGCACGTGAAGAGGCCACCCCAGTGGTGCTAAGGAACTTCGAGGCACTCCCAGCAAAGTAGGTTTGATGATGAGATGCTTCAGTTCAGAGTTGCTGAGAACTGAACTCAGGGATTGGTACATGTAAGACTTATGACTGATGTACTACCTCTCTGAGCTAGCTCCTGGTCTTAATTCTTATGAATAAAATTAACAACTTTTTATAAGATCTAGGATGCCCAGATATGACTTGTAAAGTCACAGCATCTACCTAGAAACAGTTTCTCAGTAATATTCAGACCTAAAGTTGAGTGTCACTGCAGACTAATGAACCTCAGAGTCCCTCTTCTAGACCTGAAAAAACACCACCCATCTAAATCGCTTCATCTTCCAGTGCATTTGACCATATTCCTTACATCATGCAACTTCAGGTCTTAGAAATGGTAATACAGAGTTCATCTGTTTATCACCAACAATATATCAACAATTGTTTGTATTTAGCAAATACTGAAAAAGAGGTACCCAAATGACTTGCAAAAAATAAAACAAAATTGAAACAAAAAATACAAAATACAACCTCTACCTTTAATAATATTTCAATACTAAAATGATCAGTAACCTTGAAACATATCTATAACCAGAAACACTGATGATGACATTTACATAATTAAACCTATGTGCCCACATCTCTGCCCCAAGATAGAAAAACACACCTACAGGTGTGCAACCCTGGCAGATGAGTCACTCTGCCTTAGCTAATTCTATAATGTAATCAGTACCAATGGCAACAATCCCACCACTTTCAATCACAAGGAAACTATCAGCCTTGAGAACTCTCAAAGCAACTTTTAGTTTAATACTTCATGATCCAATATGCTGTTTAGAAATATCAAAGACAGTCCTGCAGCAACACCAACGTGATGAACATTCTGTGTAACAGATCATGTAGTTCTTTCCAACTAAAAATTCATAGATTACATCATAGAAAGAAGACATGTGATTGTTAGCAGTAATAAAGGATAGGCATTTTCCAGTAATATTTATCACTCTGAACACTAGAACGAATAATTTTCACCTTACAAAGATATTACATTCTATTTTCTGAAAGTATTAAATATCAGAATTTCATGTTTGCATTCTTTAAGTCAGTTATCCTAACAACAGTGCCAAAGTAACAAATGGTTGTTTAATCCTCACTTAAAAAAAAAAAAACCTCTTGATTGTAAATTTACTGAGACACTGGTTTGCTAGTAGGAACTGAACTCTGAGTAATAAATATTTAACTTATGAGGCTTTACTAAACTGTGCAAGAGTAGGAGGTAAAATCCAAGTATGAATTTTACAATATTTTCCTTGGAGCTCTTTAAAAGTACTTGGCTTATAGTTTTAGTCTTTAAAAACAACAAAATTCAAGTCACTCTAATTTCAAACTTCATGCTAAATACACAAATTAGGGGCTGGAGCAATAGCACAGCGGGTAGGGCGTTTGCCTTGCAAGTGGCCAACCCGGGTTCGATTCCCAGCATCCCATATGGTCCCCCGAGCACCGCCAGGGGTAACCCCGAGCAGAGCCAAGAGTAACCCCTGTGCATCGCTGGGTGTGACCCAAAATGCAAAAGTAAATAAATAAATACACAGATTATTCAGTATCAACCAAGCTATAAAAATTATCAAAATAAGACATGCAAGAAAATTCCAGGATTGTTCATTTTTATGCAGTATGTTTCTTCCAGCAGTAGACAAACACTAATAAAGGGAAAAAAATAAAAGGATGATTTTTAAAACTGAATATATAAGGCGTGTAAGAAGAGTATAGCATAATTCATCTGGGGAACATAAAGTAACAAAATAGGAAACTAACACCCAAGTATGGCAGAGATTAGTACCAGGAATTTTACTCAATGACCCGGAGGACAACCACACATGGTAGGGGAAGGGGGAGCTCAGAAAGAGAAGGGAACACCAAATAAAGGGTGTTGGGAGGATCCGCCCACGATGGGAGAGCATGTTGAGGGTAGACTGTCGACCAGCATGATTGCCACTCAATGCCTCTTTTGCAGACCATGGCACTCAAAAGGAGAGAGAGGGAAATGCCCTGCCACAGAGGCAGGGTGGGATCGGGGCTGAGGGGGAGGGGATGCTGGGATCCGTGGTGGTGGGAAATGTGCATTGGTGGAGGGATGGGTGTTTGATAATTGTATAATCGAAACCCAAGCACAAAAATGTGTAAGTCTACAACTGTACCTCATGGTGCCTCACTATTAAAAAATAAATAAATATAATAAAAAAAAATTTAAAAAAAAGAAGAGTACAGCATAAAGCTGTATTTCCAAATCAGGTGGTTATCATGCTAGTCACTAGATTTATATTAAGTCTATACTGGCTATATATTATACATGTAATCTGCTTAAAATACATTAAGTCAGTTGCCAAGCAACTAAGTAATCCTCAAAACAAAACGCTTTCATGATAGTTTCTGCATCTAATTCAATCTAAAATGTTCTTAAACATGTTCCCAAAGGAAAATAAACTACAATTTTTCTATTCTTAAAGCAATGTACACAAAATTTTATTACATGCTAGTGTTTAAACACACCTGATTCAAATATGCCACAATAAAAATGTTTGACAGAAAAGTTTTCTAACACTTCCTATCATCACAAATACTTCACTACAAAAAAACAAAAAAAGCTAGACAGATATACTTACATCAGAGAATATCTATTCATTTAAAGAACTTGAAAAATACCACTAATAAGCATTGTTTAAAGAATGAATACCTAATAAAAATTTATGGTATAAAGTTAAGTAAAAAGGGAACAAAACTGTTCTTGTAAAATAAAATACGCTATCTTGGATTAGATCTTGAAACAGAAAAAGGATATGAGTTGACCAAGTAGGATCATCCAAATGAAATCTATAGTTTAGCTATAATTTTCTAGTTTGGACAAATATACGAGAGTTATATAAGATTAATATTAGAAGACTGGTAAAGAATCTGTGAGGATACTTAACTTTCCTATCAATCTGTAATCATTCTGAAAAATTGCTCTTTATGCTAGTAACAATGCTAGTAACAAGTATGACAAGATTCTCTTTTTTGGGAGTGGACTGGAGTGGGGAGAGTGAGGGGACTTTTCAGCCATACCCGGAAGTGCTCACAACTTACTTCTGGCTCTGTGCTCAGAGCTCACTCTTGGCGGGACAGTGGTGCTGGGCTAGAGCCCCGGCTGGCCATGTGCAAGGAAGCGCCCTACCCGCCACACAATCTCGCCAACCCTGGATTCTCATTTTTAAAGAATAAAATGTTCAAGGGGACAGCTCATGTTTTGCACGAGAAACCCAGGTTTGATCCACAGCATTACATGATTCCTCCAAGCAGCATGCCAACACCACCACTGCTAGGGGTGGCCCAAACAAACAAAAATTACATCCCACCCCAACCCCTACACATTCACAAATCCTCAAAAAGACTAGATTAAATAAAGCCCACTAAAAGATTAAATACTGATTCACTTAGTGGTAGGATTAAAGTATTTTTCTCTTTATATTTCCTTATAGAATAAGTTGCTTTTTACAGAACTGTGTCTCCTGCCCCCGCGCCTGGCTGTCCTCGCCGGGGCCCCTTGGAGGGGAGCAGGTTGAGCTTTCCTCCCCGCCCCGACCAGGGCTCTGGCAGCCGAAGACCTCCAGGACCAGCCACCACCATGCTGAGACCACTCTTCGCACACATGAAGGTACTGGCAGAGGGACAAAGCCGCGCGGGTTCCGGGGCCGAGATCTCCAAGCCTACTCGGATTGGGGCCGAGCATCCTCCACCCAGATCCTCCAAATTCCAGTAGGCAGGGGTCACACCCACCAACTGGCCCCCTGGCGCCATGTAATCCCATCAACGGCCAAGACTCAGAGACTATAAAAACCAGCTCCCGAAACTGCGCGGCTGCAAATGTGGCCGCGCGGCATCTTATTATCTCATTCCTACTTTGGACAAACTGACAGGTTACCGAATGTAGCCTGCCCACACGGCAGAGTCTGGCAAACTCCCCGTGGCGTACCCAATATGCCAAATACCAGTAACAATGATGGGTCTCATTCTCCTAAAGAGCCTTGAATATAATCTCAGGGCTAGGATGAAGGAGACGTTACTGAGGCCTGCTCAAGGCAATCAACGAATAACAGGATGATTTGTGATTTGTGATTTACAGAACTGTAGCACTGTCCTC